TGTTCTTTCTCTCTCTCTCTCTCTCTCACTGTTCTCTCTCTCTCTCTCTCTCTCTCTGTTCTTTCTCTCTCTCTCTCTCACTCACACGCTCGCTGCTTTCTCTCTCTTGCGCTCGCTGCTCTCTCTCACGCTCGCTGTTCGTTCTTTCTCTCAAACACGCTCGCTGCTTTCTCTCACGCTCGCTTCTCTGTCTCCCTCTTTCTCGCTTATATATCTTTCTCCCTCTTTCTTGCTTATATATATATCCCACTTTNGCGAACGACGTTACGTTACGCACACGCAGGCATTCAACACCCCGAGTAACCGATTGTAATCGATCATCGGTTGAACAGTGGCTTGCAGTAAACAGGGCTAAACAAGCACATACATGCACACACGTACATGCGAACGACGTTACGTATACGCACACGCAGGCATTCAACACCCCGAGTAACCGATTGTAATCGATCATCGGTTACTTGGGTCCAACCGATGATCGATTACGAAATTACAACCGATTGACAACACTAATCGAGACGCATCCCCACATCAATAAACTATGCAGCTTTCCTAACTTACGAATCTCAATTTGCTGCAAATGTGGGCATACAGTGAACTGAAAAGAAATTAAAGCTAGGTAACTTGTATTTGTCAGTGACTGTTACAGTGTGCGAAATTTGCACTATTTTGCTGACGGCCGCCGGTTCACCCCCTTAAACCGCCGGTTCAACCCCCCCTATAATCAGGCAGATGGGGTCGTTGTCGTATCAGGTACTACAGATATGTAGCCGAGGTAGTTTTAGGTTGTTTAGTATTATATTTATGTTTTTATATGAGGTATGTTTAGAGTTAGGGTTAGTGTTAGGGTTAGGATACACTTCTGTAGTACAAGTCTGGTACACTTTGTGTATACATACATATGTACCTCGGGTACATATCTGTAGTACCTGATACGACAACAACCCCTTGAGCTATAATCAGTCCACTTGGCCTATTCAAAATTTTGCCTATCTTGCCTTTATATCAACAATATTTACCAATTTCCTGACTAGTTTTTACTTAGTGTCACTGTCTACTAAGAGGTAAATCATGTTCCAGCGCACTTGAACTTCCTGTCAAATAAGTAGAACTCCACTGATAGCAATGAAGTACTGAAATACTATGAGTATGCCTAATAAACACAAAGCTAATATACTTTTATTAATATGGAATAAATTGAACAAAATTACGGATCTGCTCAAACTTGTAAGGGCCTGTTCAATTTGTCTAAGGGCCTGTTTAAAATTCTGGTTGGCCCTGTTCACATTTTGGCTAATTTCATGCCCTGCTGTACGTTGTATGAAAAGAATACAAATGTATTTGATCCAGCAAGTCAAGAAGGTGGTAGAGGAGATATGTCGTAGAAGAAAGATGGAGGAGGTAGGCGGTAAATGAAGGAAGGGTGCATGGAGATGGTAATGGTGTAATGGTAGAGCCCTTCAATATATATTTTCAAAATATTGGATGTATAGGAATCACAAAAGTAAATGTCTGATAAGAGAAATATGTAGGTATGTGCAATATTTATGCAATAAATATAATGTACTCTCAAAAGACTAAATTATCCTTTTTAATTTGATATTAACAGGTGTATGTGTAGAAGCCGGGGCCCGTGATTTGAGCCCCCTGTCTGGATATAGAGTACTGGACCTTTCACGGTAAGCATATATATATATATATACTTGGTCAGTGTTCTTATCAAGAGTTTCAGAAGGCATGTCGGGCAATCGGGCATTAATTACATAGTTGCTATAGGCACGTTGGCCCCAACATGCATTAATGGCCTGGGGAGACTCCCTAGACTCCCTAGACTCGTTAGTGGAGTAGGCGAGGTACGGTCCGGCATATTAGATAGTATAGTATTTAGTACCAGGGTACGTTCCGGTATACCGGACCGTACCCAGGGTACGTTCCGGCAGTACCCTAAAACAGTGTTAGAGCTGTGTTTGATGATGTCCATTGCGTGTAAAATTAAACACTACTTGGTATAAATTACACGCGTTTTACATCCTGAGGTATGATCATTATACTCTCAATGGTAGCTGTTAGAAAATGGTGCACGTAAATCCTATAAGGTTACACTAAACTTTATGGCAAAAGACCACTTAGCAGCTAGAGTATAGTATAGAGCAGCCAATTTTTTACCACAGTCATAAAGCATCATACGACCTAGTTTGCATAGTACACAGGTTTTACTTCAATTCTTTATTTACATTACTTTAGCCAAGCGAGAATTACGTTACGTAGCTGTTGAAAGCTTGAATACAAAAAAATTAGTCAATGCTTTCTATGCTGTTTTTAAGTTTACTTCTTTATGATGTACTAAGAACAGAATCTCTTGAGAATGACAGTATGCAAGCAACGAAGTAATAAATGGTTGACACCCATATAAAAGGTTTTGAGGTATCACCCTGGAACCGACATTATTGTGAAACAGGACAGCAGTTGTTTCTACAGATACCCATGTTGGAGATGATGTTGCGATGGGAGTTTGATGTAGCAAAATATTGTTCATGTAACGACATAATTTGAGCCAGATAATTGCCAAGGGGTGAGCATATATATAATATTCTTATTCTTCTTGTCTTGTCTTGCAGTGAATTGTTGTTGTTTTGCTCAAAGTGCATGTTCTGTGCACAGAGATTTCTACACATGATCTGATAGAATAAACAGGCTAAATACCCAACACTCAGGCAATGACCATTCTACTATGTATTTCATCGGCCTTGTGAATCCTGCGCCATAAAAAGTACCCACTAAGACACCAATTTCTATTATAATTATAAATAGTTGGCGTTATTATAATGGTAAATTATGCAATAACAATTTAGATTTTTCATGTATCATTGTTCTATCATGGTACTAAAAGCGAGTGCTTAACAGCTGTCGACTTATACATACTGTCAATACAAGACAACGTATTGAGATTTCTTACATCAACTGTCAGGTTGCTCCTCCAAAAGTTTCTCTTCCTGTCTCTCTATTCCTGCCACAACATTTCGCAAAGATCCACCCGGCATTGCCTCATTTCTCTGCATCTCCTCAGTAGTCTGACCAGTACTTTTGACAAAAATTTCCTGGCACTGATCACCCTCACCTTGCCTAGTCGTATGAGCTATGTACTCAGCTTTACTCAGCAGACTATCTTGTTGAGCTTGGCTCTCATGCAGCTTGGGCAAGATAACAGCTATGTAGCCATTGCTGTCCGGCTATAACATAAAGCAAGGACCATAATATCAACTGTAGGTTAGATACTCTCCCACAAATGCAACTGATATTACAGTTTGGGCAAACTATGTACTAGAATGATCATGGAGAAAAATTATTGAGCACTAACAAACGTCAATGTCGGGAAACCTATTTTAGATGAACATAGATGCTCTCAGCATTATTAGTTTTAACACAAAGATACCATATTATACATCAAAACACAAGTGTAGACCAACTGTACTCCATTTAGACGTTTTACCTTTTCACTAAGAAGAGAAGGGTTGTTTAATAGGTTCTCGTTGATTTCGATGAGGTTGCCACGGATACAGCTGTAAATGGTGTAGTTCGATCCATCGGTACAGGTCAATTCACAAACCTTAGCATCAGGCTGAAGCCACTGTCCACCCTAAATATTATACCAAATACAGGCTAAAAACTAATGCTTGCTGGCTGTTCGACTGCTATTCATATATGGAAATGCGGGTGCAAATGTGTACATCTCAAACCACCACAACGCACATACTCAATGGTTAATGCTGATATCTAATTTACCTTTTTGGCCTTTCCACGTACGATGTTTACCAGTCTGTTCATATTTTTCCCCAAGTTGAAATTAACATTGCTCACGATCTTGTTATCTCTCAGTACCGGGTGGGATGGAGCCAGAGTGAGCAAGGCTATTCTACAAAATGTGGGTAATATAATTAAAATAGTAAACAAAACTAGTAAAAATTATGAATTATGGATTAGGAAAGGTAGTATTAAAACAAGGTTCAGATCAAATGATTCATGTAGCAGTTGAAAAACAACTGTCTTCAAGATATCTTTACAATTGCCACAGCCTAATTTTAAAATTCATACCTTTTGTATTCAATAAACAGTAAAATTGTGTTGAATTGGACATTGCTTTTAATCTTTTAATTTGTAGAAACCAGCCACGTTAGATGCTTTTATTTTGATAGTTAGGAATTTTACGTCATACCTCAGATTGTGTGTTGTCTAGCTGCCACGTCTTACCAAAATGATACAGGTCACTAACATTGCATGAGATTATAGGCACATGTGGTTGTAAATGTAGGCTACTATTGGTAGAGTTACACTTCCTGTAAACAACTGCCTGCTTTACTTAGACTGATAACCTTTAGACGCTGTCTTCACAATCACATAACAATGACACAGATTTAATTGTGATACTTACTTGTTTGAATGAAAGAGGATGCAATGATCTTCGGCATTCATTTTCTTTCCTACTCAGAAAAACAAAAAAGTACCGGTAGTCAAAAATCAATTCTATTGAGTATGTGCTGGTTAGTATTACTCAGCAACTATGAGTCAGGCATGTCCGGCGCACATGCTAGAGGGCTAGCCTTCCCAGAATGCATAATGCTTGCCAATTCTATTTACCCTCAAACTCTAACCAAAGCTCCTAGTAACAACGTTAATCTTAATAAGAGCAATTAATTGCTAGTGAGCACCATGAACTATTTGTTTAGTTTCTAGCAAGTAATTTACTAGCTCTAGAACTATAGCCCTTCGCTCTGCCATGGGGCTATAGCACAAACTATGTTGAATATGGGCAACAAAACTGCTCCCTCTGCTCCCACGAGGAATGGCTCACAAAAGACAAAATGATCGGGCTTTTAAACATTTATCTACATGGACCTGTTACCTAACTTTTTGAACAGTTTCACAACTTTACACCATGCATTTATCTATTTATTCCTCAAATTCTTACCACTACTTGCAAATTCCGTTCAAATGTTCGCGCACGTGGGTAACGTCATCCGAAATCTAGGCAAAACATGAGGGCAGCCCATGGGGGTAAACTGGCACTTTTCTAAACATAAACATGTTGCCTGGCAACCCTGTATCAGTGCCAGTGCTATACCCACACCCCCATGAGTAATGGGCCTGTACCGTAGTATTTGGATGCACGCCCGAAACTGGACACTCCTAAGTGCACATGCGCCTCTTGTTTTGCAAGGGCGCATGTGCAGCATGTGCAGTAGTCATCTGCGCATCTCGCCCATCAAAAACGGTCGCAATAACCAAACATGGCGGCCAACCCGATCACTCATGGAAACATTTGATTGAAACAATTTGCAATGTAGTAAGTTAGTAACTGTGTTATGTGTGTCAGGTTACAAGGCGAAACAAAGAGAAAACAAAAGAGCATGGCTGATATTTCCTATGGCCATGCAAAACATGATTCAAACAAAAAGAAAACAAGAGAAAAATAAAAGAGCATGCGCGCATGCGCACTTAGGAGCGTCAAGTTTTGGGCGAGCGTCCAAATACTACGGTACAGGCCGCCCTCGTTTTTTCTGTGATCCGTTCCTTGTGGGAGCAGAGGGAACAGTTTTGTTGACCATATTCAACCCCTAGACCTACTCTTGTTGGGTTACATTATTGTATAGATCCGTAATTATTGTAATTTGTACTCGAGTACCAATTATGCCTATAACTCACCTATTGCATATCTAGGAGTGAAATATCTCTCTGTGACACTTAGGTAACGCATTTTCTTGTCTGGCAATTCAATATCACATACGCTATTACTTTTGCTTTTGTTTGCCATGGCCATGCGTATTAACTATTAATAGTATTACTATTACTATTAGTATTAATCCATTGTTAACTACTCTGTACTCAATCTCATCCACTGAACCACGTCACGTGAGATGGGGTTGTCGACAATAATGCACAATAATTTGCGGATAATTTACACGAATCAAAAGAAGTAAATCTGTATATCAATGTTTTACTACACCAATTATGGTAACATGCGATGAATCATAGGTGAATCCGAAATCTTGAACACCAAACGTTACTTTGGCTTTATCAATATGGAGGCTGCCATATTTGTCATGCCGCTATAGACGGGTACACTGTCTGTTTATTTCGTTCTTGCCCGTTATTTTCTGGAAATGAAAAGACAGGGTCTCGTCTAATCCCGTCCAATAATTGCCGCAACCGGTCACCGACCAACCATAACCTCACACACGTCACACCTGACATATAACCATTGACTCAAATTTAATTATATATATAATCAAAACTGCATAACAATACAGCTTGTCGTGTAAATTACTAAATACACTGCTATTTGTCTGTATGATCGGTGCTCACCTCTGAGGGTACAGGTGATTGACTCGTCCACGGTCCACGGCACAGACGCAGCGGTCTGCGATCGCCTGGGACCGGTTTTCAGTGAAAGTTTGTCTGCGACCGGTTTTAGAGAGATACCATACATGTCAGCGCCCATTCTCGGCACAGAGCAAGTCTAAAATATAATATAATATGATTTAAAATGAGTCATTACGTTGCAAAATCACAACAAAATAAGTGTTTGGCACGATTGGCTTTACTAAATTCTCTGAAATTACTAAACCGACTGCAAGTTAGCAACCGAGGTTCGTATGGGTACTATGACGAGGAGGTTCCTATTCCTAACTGGCACTCTAGACTATACTATACCCCACAAATATTACTCTAGACTATAGTAATATTTGTCTTGGCCAGGCCGGTTCAAGGATAGAGAACATGGGTCCCAATAAAACCAATGTCATTTACATCAATATAAATATAATATTATATCAATATAATAGGTTACTTAGGGTTATGGTTAGGGGTAGGTTTAGGCACATTGGTTTTATTGGGACCCATGTTCTCTATCCTTCAATTCCTTGGGCCCAATGAATCAAAGATAAGTTTGGGACTGTTTGAATCGGATTGGATAGCATCTAATGTAGGTCTGAAGCAGGGTTGCCTTTTATCACCAATCCTGTTCGCATTGTTTATCAATGAATTGTCTACTAGGCTCGTAACAAATGCAAATGGATTATCATTATGCATTGGAGGAAATAGCTTTCCGGGGATGTTATACGCGGATGATGTGGTTCTGCTAGCAGAGAATAGGAGTATAATGGAAAGTATGCTGAGCATTGCCGCAGACTTTGCAGAAAATTTTGGAATGGTTTTTGGAGAAAAGAAATCCCAAATCATGATTCTCAATAAGCCGACAGAGGAGCAACAGGGTGTCTGGAAACTGGGGGGCAATGAATTTGCAGCAAGTATCTCAATACACTTACCTGGGGGTAGAGCTTAGTGACAATATCGAAAACTGCTTACAACAGCATGAGCATACGGAAAAAAGCAAGAAAATACAGGGGAGCAATAGCTTCAAAGGCATTCTATAGTTTCAATAGATATTGGGTGGGTAGGGAGCTTTGGAAAGCAGTTGCAGTGCCTGCTCTGACGTATACAAATGAAGCCCTAGTATTTAAAGTTAAAAAAGGAGGAACGTCCACGCTCCAGGCGCTAGACAGGACGCAAAACCAGCTGGGAAGGGAGTTACTAGGGGCACCCTCTTATGTGGGCCTGGAGAGTATTAGAGGGGAGATGGGATGGTCAACTTTTGAAGAGAGAGAGGCAAAAAGTAAAATTAAATATTGGGGCAGGATAAAATATATGAATAATGAACGTAAATGTAAACAGATAGCAGAAGCAATGGAATTGGGCGAATTCAGATCAGACTGCGCCCCTGTCTGGATATAGACTGACCTTTCACGCTAAGCATATATAAGTATATATGATACTTGGTCAGTGTTCTTATCAAGAGTTTTCAGAAGGCAGTCGGGCAATCGGCATTAATTACATAGTTTGCTAATAGGCACGTTGGCCCCAAGAACATGCATTCAATGGCGCTGGGGAGATCTCCCTAGACTCCGCTACGACTCGTTATGGAGTAGGCGAGGTAGGCCGGCATATTAGATAGTATGTATTTAGTACAGCGGTACGTTTTCGGTATAAAGCCGGAGCGACCCAGGTACGTTCCGCGCAGTACCCTGGGGACATAGACCCTATCAGCCCTGCTGGCACATTCATCGATATTGTTAGCCTCATGCGTTTTTTATTCTACCTGTGGTTTCTCTTTAAGTCTTCATCTGCTGGAAAAGTTAAGAACCTAATCTTAGCCTAAACAGGTTTTTAT